CACCGCTGCCACCGCTGCCGCCAACGAGGCCACCACCGCCGCCAATGTCACCCTGTCAGAGTTGGAGGAGGTGACCGGTCAGCTGAGGACCGTGGTGGACGCTGTCACCCAGGACCTGGAGATGGCCCAGGGCTTCCCTGCCAGCGCCCGGGCCCTAGGGGACGCCGTGGTGGCCTTGGGGATGGTGATGGGGGACAAGGAGGGGACACAGAAGTTGGCCCAGGTGCTGGAGTCTCTGCCTGGGGATGAGTAGGGACAGGGACAGGGACAGTGGGAGAGTCCTGCTCATCCTGGGGACACCAGGATGTCCCCTGTCCCATCTGGGGACACCAAGAGGGTCATCTTCCTCCTGGGGACACCTGGATGTCCCCTGTCCCATCTGGGGACACCAGGAGAGTCGTCTTCCTCCTGGGGACACCCTGATGTCCCCTGTCCCATCTGGGGACACCCTGAGGCTCCTCCTGGGGACACCAGGATGTCCCTTCTCCTTCCTGGACACTGAGATGTCCCCTATCCTGCTGGAGGACACCTGGATGTCCTTCCTTCTGGGGACAGCAGGGACACCAGGATGTCCCCTGTCCCACCTGGGGACACTGAGGATGTCCCCTTCGTGGTCCAAGGACACCAAGGATGGGTTGGTGACACCGGCCCCTGTCCCCGCAATAAACCCCAGGGACACGCTGAGCTCCCGACCCGTCACTGGGCATTGGGGACATGGCAAGGGACATGGGGACACCAGGGGACAGGGACAACCCCACCCCATTCAGAGGACACTGGGGGGAGGGGTGTCCCCAAACTGTCCCCATCAAAGGACTTGGGACTGTCCCCAGTGTCCCCAGGGACACCTGGCTGGATGTTCCCAAGCCATGGGGTGACACATGGTGGTGGCACAGCAGGGCCATCAGCAGGGCCAGGTTGGGGACAGCATTGGGGACACACTGGGGACATTATTGTGGCCATGCTGGGGCCATCCCTGAGGCCACCTCAGCTCCAGCATTGGGGACACTCCAGGGACATCACCAGGACCAGCACTGGGGCCACACTGGGGCCATCACTGAGGACATGTTGGGGAGGACACTGAGGCCACCGTTGGGGGTAGCATTGGGGGACACAATGGGGACGTGCTGGAGCCACCACTGGGGACATCGGGGGACATGGGGGGGGGATGTTGAAGGTTGCGGGTGGCCATGTTGAGGCCCCACTGGGGGCCATGGGGCTGCACTGGGGACAATGGGGGACATCAGGGGCTGTGGGGACATTGGAGGTGACACGGGGACACCAAGGGCGTTGGGGCCATGGGGGGGACATCAGGGACCATAGGGCTGCAGTGGGGACATGGTGGAGGGGGGGAGGGCACTGGTGGCTGCAGGACCCTGTGTGGGGACATTGGGGGACACTGGGGGCTGTGGGACCCTGTTGGGGACATCAGGGGACACCAAGGGCTGTGGGTGACCATGCTGGGGCCCCTTGGGGACATTGCGGGGGACACTGGAGGCTGTGGAGTGCTGTTGGGGGACACTGGGGGACACTGGAGGCTGTGAGGTCCCATTGGGGACATTGGGGGACACTGAGGGATGTGGGTGGCCGTGCTGGGGCCATATTGGGAACATCGGGGGGGACATCAAGGACCATAGGGCTGTGTTGGGGATGTGTTGGGGACACCAGTGGCCACGGGACCCTGTGTGGGGACACTGGGGGACACTGGGGGCTGTGGGACCCTGTTGGGGCCATGGGACCCTGTGTGGGGACACTGGGGGACACCGGAGGCTGTGGGACCCCGTTGGGGACACTGGGGGGACACTGAAGCCCGTAGTGTGGCCGTGCTGAGGCCCCACTGTGGAGGGGGACAGTGGAGGCCGTGGGGTCCCATTGGGGACATGGGAGGGGACATTGTGGGACACGGAGGGGCCATGGGAGTCCTGCTGGGGACACTTGGGGACACCGTAGTGAGGTCACGGGGAGGGCAATGGCCCCCGTTGGTGGCGTCCCCATGTCCAGCCCCTCTGGGCCGAGCCCGGCCCAGCCCTAGTCCTTAATCCAGCCACCGCCGCCGCCGACACTTCCTGAGCCCGCGTGTCCTCATCGCGTCCTCATCGCGTCCTCATCGTGTCCCCCCCACCACCCC